CACATATTTCAATCACTTAAAATTAATTAACTTAATAACTTCCCATAAATTCCAGCTAGAAGATAGATGAGGCTTGTCACATCAGTTCAATGAATTCCCAAGGTAGAATAAATACTTTATATTTCCTATTCTAGTATTAGCAGGAATAAATAATGATCTATATAGGAATAGGCCAAAAACAACTGGCCTACCCTTTTCATTAAACTTATATATGTTTGTGTTAAGAGGATAACTTGACAGGCACATCAATTAGTCTTGAGGCTGCATCATGTTGAAAAAATATTTTTATAATATTTAAGACAGGAAATTGAACCCTAATTTTGCCATAAACTAGCTGTTTGGTCATGGGTAAGTAAGCCTGACCTTTGTGAATTTCTCTTTCTATATAAAAAGAAATAATAATAGATACTCTGCATAATTAATTGGTGGATTAGCAGTGATGTAGGTAAAGCACCTGGCAGAGATATTTGCCTGATATTAGGTAGGTAGCAGATAGTTTTGATAAAATTATCTTGGAGTGGCCATCATATGTGTAGTTTCACTTCATTGGATGGGTATTACCAAAAAGGTCCCTAATCTTTATATATTCAATATAAGTATCAGGAAAGCCCCAGTACTGCATCTTCGTATGCATAAGACGCTCATTTCCCTTCCTGCATACCCTCCTGGTCAAGCAGAATAATTTCTTCTGGAATATTTTTTTGTCTGGCTCTAATCCCGCCTTGGAAAAAGTTGGGGTTAAGACAGAGGTGGCCAGGTGCCTTGAAACCCAATCAGTTTACCAAACTTTTAGACCAAAACATTCAGTTACATATTTGGTTCAGCTCTAAGGATTTGCATTATGATATCTTTCCCCATTCACCTCTCTCTTCTATGGTCTTGAGCTGACTTGACAGGAAACAATTAGAGGAATGTAATAAAAGTTGACAATTACATGTTCCACTTCGTGATCCAGCCCCCTGTGTGCAAAGCAAATATTAATATTCCCCATTTACTGAGTTCTTGGTTGATAGTTTCAATTACATGGGCCAATTACTGATCTCTTAACTTCCAAATGCTGTTTCCTTGAGGTAAGAAACAAATCATTTTAAGATTAGGATAGCATCCAACAAAATAAAAAAAAAAATCCTAAAGAAAGCAAACTGGATGTTTTTTGGAGTCACCCCCCACTAGACTGTTAGGAAAACAAACAGTAGAGCAAATGTTGCTAATCCTATTCTTGCTTTGTGCCTTTGGCCATTTAGGGGATAAAGTAGTGAATCTAATGAGGCCAAAAATCCTTTTTCAACCCTACAAGTGATGCATTTAATTTGTCAGGATGTAAATCAGCAGGGCCTCTCAGCATGATTGTGTAGTATAATCCCATCCATAAAATATTCCTCCTTGTTCTGCCAAAGAAGTGGTGGACCCTCCTAAGGGCCGGTTCACCAACTTGGCAGATGAGGCCCCATCACACTCAAAGCTGGTAAGTCACACACCCAGACACAATCCCTGACATTCCATGGGGAGGAAGCAAAGCTTAATTTAGATAATCCCCTTTGCAAAGTGTATTAGCTGATCCAAACCAGACCTGGCCAACTAAAGGCATGTTGTTCCTACATTTCAGAGATGCCTAAATGTAGAAATAGCTTTTTGCTACATGTGGAAGATTAAGATTCATTTAAGGAATAGGTAGGGATAATCAATAAGCTTCTTTAAAAATATATAAACAGCTTCATGTATGACTTTGACCTTCTATCAACTTAAATGGTGTGTGTGTTGGGGGGGAGTAATTCTTTGTTGCTTAGAAAGTGCTTGATAGAGCTCCTGTAATTCCATTTCACATAGGGAAATAAACAAGAACAATAAACACAACAGGGAAAGCATGCTGTACATCACAAAATGATATTCCTTTTTTTTTTTAATAATGTAAAACACGTTTCACTTTTAGTGGTTCATAGAAGACTATGCCTGGTTTAAGAATAAATATTCTGCCAACACTCCACTAAACACATTAGACCCTTCAACACAAAGATACAGATTACTACAGAGATAGAATAATGTCAGGAGTTAGAGCACATTGACAGAAAAATGCTCTCAGGAACCACAGGTGAAGTAATGCTATGCTTTTTTTTTTTTTAATGTATTTTTATGTTTTTTATTTTTTCTGAGAGAGAGAGATAGCATGAGAGGGGAGGGTGAGAGAGAGAGACACACAGAATCTGAAACAGGCTCCAGGCTCTGAGCTGCCAGCACAGAACCCAATGTGAGGCTTGAACCCACGAACCATGAGATCATGACCTAGGCCGAGGTCGGACACTCAATCGACTGAGCCACCCAGGCGCCCCGAAGTAATGCTATACTTGAGTGTCAAAAAGGGGGGGAGGGGGAAGGATTGCAGAGTAGGAGTAAAAGATGTATATAAGTTTTGTCAGGCATGAGCACAGAGATAAATTTCAAGTTAAAACCTAAATCATTGAATTCATTGTGAAATACCTATATTTCTGGAAAACAGAATTGTTACAACTCAAAAAAATCATCATTAGCAATAAATGTTGTGATTTGTATATATAAGACCTGAATTTTCCTTAGAAATGAGAATTTAATAAAGGAAAAAAATCCATCAGCAGAAGGCAAGTATATGCCGTGGATAAGGAGTGAGACTCCTGTGAGAGGTTGTGGCACAGGACAAGCCTCTTCTACTTGGCCTTTCGAGTGCTTGAACCTTGACTCGGCTTTACCAAAGGAATAGAGAGAACAACTTGTAAGCAGGTTCCACTCAACAATTTCATGGTGAGAATTCCATAGTAGGAAATAATACCAGGTGCCATATCAAGGATTATGATGGGGAAAAAAATCCCAAAATGATTTGGAAACAAGTGAGAAGGGATATACTTTAAAAAAAGAAGAAGAAGACAAAGACAAAAGAACGAATGAATATGAGAAGAAAAGAGAGAAAAAGAAAGAGGCAGAGCCATGGAGAGAGAGAGAGACAGAGAGCTCAGTACAGTGACACTTAAGGGACCGCATTTGTTTTTGTAGTTAAGAGTGAGACCTTAGTCCTCCCAATTTTTTTTATGGTATCCTGACAGCTCAAGTGTCAGATGTGGACCAAGAGATAATACACGTATCAGCAGGGGAAGAACTGAAGAATGTAGATTCATACTGACAACTTTTTAAAAGATAAATCATATATGGTAACATACTTAGTAAGAGACTGAAAGCACCCTAGGTTACAGCTTAACATTATTAAGAATGATATTAGATGGATATTTATTCATGAGAAAAGATATCTATTTCCAAAGAAAGCAGGCTGCAAAACAGTGTGTATGGCATGACACAGGCTACAAAACAGTGTGTATGGCATGTACGTATAAATATACATTTATATGTAATATACAGCAATGTATGAAGCTTTCTCAATGTGTCAGGATTGTAATTTTTAATTTTATTTCATGTACTTTCTCCTTTGTCTACAATAAGTGCCTGATATTTATGTAATTATAAAATCAACCTAATAATAAGATAAAAACATCAGTATTTTACTTACCCATTCCTAGACAAAGCTTTCACAATAGCATACTGAAATACTATAAAGGGGTTCACTTTTAGCGACCATGTTAAAGCATGGTGGGACCCTAAAACCAAGGGATGTTGAAGTAAAGTATACCTGCTCCATGTATATGTCTGGTTACTGTGAAACAGCAGGAGGGTAAATGGTACTTTTCAGCAGGATTTTCAATTCCAAAACATTTCATTATGCAACCAGTTCAGGGTCAAGTCCTGTCAAGTTTATTTATAGTTATACAGTTTACCCCATGACACAGTACAAAGATAAATAAATGTAAAACTTAGAAATACAAGTCACAGAGCATGCATGACCCCTTTCAGACTCTAAATCAACATCCAGGTTTATCTTCTTCATGTATGAGTTTCATTATAATTGTTGTCATTAAGGGCTACTTTTAGTGTATAGTCAGGGAATCTTTCAAGTTTGCAGATAGTGGTATTGAGAGACCATGTGTTACAGTGGAAAGAGCAGGCGTAGGGAGAAAGAAACCTGAATTACATTCCCAGCTGTGCCACCAGGAAGCTGTGTGATCTTGGGCAAATCACGCACTTCCACTAAGCCTGTCCCCTCATCTGTAAAGTAAGAGTACTAGCAGTACTTGCAAGTACGTACCTGGTTAGAAACATGGTGGAAACTCTCGTTCCAATGACATAAGGCATTTAACTCTTCTCTAGCAACACAATGGTCTTAAACCCAACAGAATGCACAAAAACTAAAACCTCTTCAAGCCATCCAATACCCAGAAGCCAGTTAATTAAGCAATACATTTGTCCCACAGAGGTCAGTGCTTTGATTGAATTATCTGTCATGAATGCCAATAACTTCAAAATGATACAGTCTATATGCCATCCTAGCTCTGGGGTGATCTCTAAGGCCCATTTAACTTGCCTGAGATGATTCACAGTTTGTAAAATACATCTATTAAACTAAATAAATTATTATATCAAGAGTAAATGACTTTAAATGGAGAAAAGTGAGTGGCAAGCAACTCCTGAATCAGCTTTATGGGTAAATACCTTTCTGGAAAAAATAAAATCTGCTTCTTTCTAGTGCAAGACCTATGAATTCAACAATCTTTTAGCTCTGTGAAAGTTTAAGGGCAGGTAGAGTGACAGTTTAAGTTACAGAGTTTCAGAGACTATTTTTGCCTCTACTGCTACAGATTTCATCCTGCTGAAAATTGTCATTATTTTGTGTCACTGAATTCAATCATAGAATCAATTTTTGTGGATATGGTGGAATTTGCACAACTAAACATTAGATAAATGAGTGCTAAAAGTTATAAAAACCAGATATTTTAAGAGTATAAGCAACAGTATTATTCTTATATTGTCTCTATATTTCCTTTTTCACAAACAACCTCGAGGTAACCTTTTTTTAAAGCGTTCACAGAAAGGTGGAGGATAAAAATACGTACATCTGTAAATATTTGGAATACAACAGTCCTCACCTGTTTTTCTCATGAATCTTTAGGATTTCATTTGTCTGTTGAAGAAGCTGCTTCTCTAGCTTGTATGTTGATAATGAATTCTCTAACAGTTGTATTTCAAGTCGAGAAGTTTGATTTAGTACCTCAAGATAAAAGACAAAAGATAAAAACATTTCAAACTTCAATCACAAAGACTGAAAAGAATTTTTAGTTTTTCATGTAGCTGTGTTTCCTTTTAAAATGATACTTCTTCCAGAACAATTAATTAAATGGTCTATTCTACTAACTAATGTTTTACAATGTGTCTTAATCATTATATTCATTTGAGACTGAGATTGCAGTTGAATGAGAAAACTGAATTGTTAAATCCATGTTCATATTTAAATTTTCATGTCCTGAATCCCTAGGATATTCTACTGTGCTACTTGCTTCATGAATATATATTCTCCAATATTTATAAGATGAGAATTACTACACGGTCTTAGATATTGTGTATAATTAATAATGAATAGGCATGTAAAATATGCCTGCTTTGATCCTTACCTTACAAAAATTAATTGTAAATGTGCAAACAACTCTTGACATAGCTTAGATAAATTCATGACTACAGAGTTATTAAATACCTATCGTATTAGGTCATGCCAGCCCTTCCAGATATCATGTTATTTCATAGACCTGCGCATATAACACAGTAAAGGACGAATTACTACCATCACTTTATAAATGAGGAAACTAAGGTTCAGAGAGAGGCCAAAATCCACGCAGCAACCAAGGGAAGAACTGGGTTTTGAACCCAGATAGTGTGACTCTAATTTTAATGTTCTACACAGAACACTAGAGGGTTAATTAAACCATCCTGGTCTTAATCTGAGGAAATGAAGTGACTAAGAATCCAGATTGCACTGAAGACAGATTGTAGTATTCTTTTCAACTGCACTACACTGGGTACTCTAGAAACTATAAACGTTCAACTTACCTTGAATCATCAAGACTCATGTTGCTAGTCAGGCTTTAATATAACATGAGTCTGTGAGTCATGAACCCAAAGGCTTTGGGTTCATCCTCCAAAAAAAAAATATCACACACTTCAATCCTGTAAGATGCCTTCAAAATGTGCCAGTGTCTTTATTCCTCCCTTTCTCTGTTCTGTCCACCCCTTCCAACCTGGTCTTCTCTAAGGGTGGTAAACAGAGCAAGGAAAAAAAGTATAATTAGCATTACATGCTTCCTATGTCATTTGGAAATTTAAAACCATCACACTTTTCTTAGAACTACTTATTGAGGGGTTCCTGGGTGGCTCATGGGTTAAGTGACCAGCTCTTGGTTTTGGCTCAGGTTATGATCTGACAGTTTGTGGTAGTTTGTGGGTTCAAGTCCCATGTCGAGTTCTGCACTAACAGCACGGAGACTGCTTGGGATACTCTCTCTCTCCCCCTCCCCTACTTGTGTGCTCTCTCTCTCTCTCTCTCAGAATTAAAAAAACAAAAACAAAAAAAAAAAAAAACAACTTAAAAAAAGGGAGAGAGAACTACTTCTTGAAAGGGACCTGGAAATACTTCTGGAGGGTCAATATCAATCTAAAAGCCCTCTTCTAAAAATGACACCATTAGAGTTTTCCTCCTTTTCTGTAGCAGGTCTAAACCTAGGATTATATTAGATTTACATGACCTTTCCAAAATATACTGATATGGCCAGGGCTAGATTTGGGCTACAGAGGTTGTAGGGGAAGGGAATGGATTTGCAAGAGAGCAGGACAAGGACTAGGGAGAGATGAGAGAGGCAATTTTCTCAGTTGCAAAATTTAAGGAGATGACAAGAAATCCAGTAATCAACATAATATTGTAATGCAACATTTTGAAAGATCAAAATTAGTGCAAAAATATCCATGCTGAACATAATGTAATTTTAAAATAAAGACAGGATCTGCGCCTGCACATGTATTATTTCATTTGCATGACCCAATCCCACTCTCCTCACCGTAGTCTCAGTCCCACTGTGGGAGAGGGGTGACGTGTTGGAGGGTGAAGGAGTAGGGAAGAGAATAGCATGATGGGCATTTGTGCTTTAAGAAAGTTCGAAGTTTTGGGGTGCCTGGGTGGCTCAGTCAGTTGAGCAACCAACTTTGGCTCAGGTCATGTTCTCAAGGTTCGTGAGTTCGAGCCTAGTTGGGCTCCCTGCTATCAGCACGAAGCCCACTTTGGATCCTCTGTCCCTCTCCCTCTGTACCTCCTCCACTAGCTCTCTCTCTCTCTCTCTCTCTCTCAAAAATAAAGAAACATTACAAAAACTTAGAAGTTTCTATGATTCATTTATAAAACTGTCATAAATATAGATCTGAAAGCCAATCTAAAAGTTACTACTACTAATCAATACCTATGCAGTGTTTTGGAGTTAAAAAAAAATAATTTTCCTATACTGAGTCAATTCATTTGAGGAAAAACAGGAGCAAGAACTGGGATTTGAAGACAGAGTTCAAAGCAGTCCAGAGAAGAGAATGGTGGAGAATGTTAAGATTGGGGATACATACAATTTAACTTTGAACTGTTAAACATATTTTTGTCTAGGCAAGTTTTTTGTTTCTGTTTATTAACTAGAATTTATACATATATATGTATACATATATACATATAAATTTTATATACATATAAATATATACATATATATATATACACACAATTAAATAAGGGATGAGATATCTATATCTTTTGGTGATAGAACAGTGCCTGGTACTGAGAGACAACATTGATTGAATGAATAAAAGGTACATTGTTTCACCAAATCAGGCATATTATATGCAGTTAAACAAAATCTACTTTCTCCCTTATTTATCATACACTCTGATAACACTTGCAGACATTCTCAAATACCAAAATTTTTATTTTACAAAGAACAAAAGTAGTTCTTCTCCATGTCTGAGAAGGACATGAGAGAACACTGAGAACAGAATGGAGCTATCTGAAATTGAAAAGGAAACTGTCTATGTGTAAATAGCTCCTAATTTTTCTCCGCTTTGTCCTACCTCCTGTGTCAGTTTGCTACGTAACACAAGAATGATCTTTTAAAAACATAACTCACCTTATGTCATCACCAATATCAAATATGCTAATTGCTTCTCTTGGCAATCAGAATAAATTCCAAAGTTCTTAGCCTGGTCCACAGGGTCCTATGTGATCAGAACACCACTTACTTCTCAGATCTCATCCTCCCATTACCTTTGTTTATTATGCTCTACTCGCATTGTCTTTCTTCCTGCCACCCCAACATGCCAAATTCATTGCTACCTCAGGGCCTTTGCATTTGCAGTTGCCCACTGTATCCCAGATGCATGGCTAATTTCTTATCAATCAATTCTTGCTTATGGAGGCCCTTCCTGGCAACTGTTTGAAATATAAGTCCCCCATTATCCACCATCAAGTCACCCTGTTTTACTGGCTTTATAAAATCATCACTATTGGAAATTATCCTGTCTGTTCACTTATTTGCTGTTTCTCTACCCCCAGGAGGATGCCAGTTACACAGAGGCAGGACTACTCCATCTGGAGCCCTCCAAGCTGCCAGTACCCATCATGGGGTGGCATACTGGCACAGTTAGAGCTATTGTTGGATGATATACTAGACAATGGATAGTAAATTATTTTTCAAATTGGGTCATTGACAGGGAGAGGATAGTAGGCCACATGAATGTTAGTGGGCCTTCAATGATAACAATCTAAAATCTAAATCCAAAGAAGCATCTGAATATAAAAGAAGCAGAGAGACAGATCTCAAATCTCACTTAGTCCAGGCTAGGTGTCAGGTCATCTCAGGTCACTTAGAACACAAATACCAATCCCTTCTTTTATTTTCCCATCACTTTGACCAAATAACTGCTTTATTTCCATTCTCTTCACTGATGTATTAACAGAGGCCTAAAGTTCAAAATGAGCAACCAAGAGAATTGTACAAGAAACTATGACAAATTGACTACTTTCTTGCCATGTGTCTATGAAACTTGCTGCTTAGCAATATTCTAAGCATTGTATTAAAATGACTAAGACATTTCATTCTTTAGCCTAAACACATTCCAAAGTACATCTAGAAAGAAAGAAAGAAAGAAAGAAAGAAAGAAAGAAAGAAAGAAAGAAAGAAAGAAAGAAAGAAAGAGGGAGGGAAGAAGGAAGGAGGAAAGAAGGAAGGAAGGAAGGGAGAGAGGGAGGGAAGGAGGGAGGGAGGAAGGAAGGAGGGAAGGAAGGAAGGAAGGAAGGAAGGAAGGAAGGAAGGAAGGAAGGAAGGAGGAAGGGAAGGAAGGAGGGAAGGGAGGAGGAAGGGAAGAAGGGAGGGAAGGAGGGATGTCTTCTTTATAAAGACATAAGACTTGAAACTGAGGAGTTATGAATTCTAAAATGTTAGTTCTTTCATTAAAAAATAAATAAAAATTTTAAAATAAAAATTACTAGTTTTACAAATAAAGTGAGTTAAAGAATTTTAGCCAGCTTCCCTTTAATACTTTTAAGAGTACCTCTGATCTTGTTTAAAAGGAAAATCTCTCACAAAAGAACATTTCCTTCAACAGCATATTAACTTTGAAATCAGCTTTGTTTGTAGTTTAAACTTCTTTTTATTTTAATTATATTTTTCAAATGAAAAATATAACACGAAGTATGGTGTCTTGGTAATTAGATTTTTACAATGGAATAAAGGCTGGTATGTGTTCAAGGAATCAGAAGAACACCATTTTACAAAATTGATGAAAGAATTTATTTGGTCAATGGTGGGCAGTGTGACAAAGTGCCACTCTCCAGGTTATCTGTTAATCTCCAAGGTGAAAATAGACAACTAGGATGGAGAGACATGAAGGCTTCTGCCCTGAGTTAAAGTAGCATCACTCAGAGTGTGGCAAGCTGGCATTTGTGCTTCCTGATAAGATGCAATAGGAAGTGGTGAGTAATTCTTTTTTTTTTTTTTTTTTTTGAAGTTTCAATGAGCGTGTTCATTAGAAATTCAGTGGTCACGGATTTCATTAGACACTGGTCACATAGGCACATTCTGCCGAGTATGTGCCAAAACTCCAGATTTCCAAAGGAAAGCAGGTATTCAACATAAAACATATTATTTGCATAAACAGTTTAAGTACAGTGTAATATTGTTATCAATGGAATGGAAA